CCACTGGAATTCGTTCGTGAAGGTCTGCATGCACAGCCAGCCATGCCAGCGCCCAGCGGGCTGTAGCTTTATTGACGTGTTTCCAGTACATGTATTAGAAGTCGAATTTTTCTCAGTGATGCGAAAGTAACAGTTTGCATGGTGGGCGCTAGCTAGTTGTGAGCTTTCCCGATCGTGTGGAGTGCCATTGCCTTCAAGAAGTAGGAGCCCAACACTGAGAACAAGGGTAGCTTGTGTTTTAGATTCTTGAAGTTGTGTTCACAGTGGTAGTGCAGCGGGCTAGGTTTGCAGCATGTCGACGAGTGGTTTCGGTGAGAACGCTGGCGAGGACTCATTAAGTAACGGCGGCAATATGTCCGGCAGTCAACCGAGTGAGGTTTGCAGCCTGCCGGAAATTTCTAGCCAAGCAAGCGGTGAGGTTTTCGGTAGCACAGAAACAGATAACGTTTGCCGTGTGTCAGTAATGGAATACCGTGAGAACGCTCCTCGAGACTCGTCAAGTCGTGCAGGCAGGAAGAAAAAGCCTTATGGAGAACGTCCACAGCCCGACAATGGAGATGACGAATTGCATCTGGCGATTTCCTCGCCAGCTTTACCCAAATTACCGGATGAATTATGGGCATTGATATTCAGTAAACTACCCGATGGTTGGTATCACAGTCATCACCTGGCAACCGTCTGTCAGCCATTCGCGACGGTCGCTGCTGATTGGAAAGGTAGGGTGTGTGAGACCGCGTCTTTCGATTTCCGTCAAGGATCTAGCAGAAGAATGAAACAGAGATTCATGGAAACGGCTGGCAAATGTGGACAATACGTGAAAGAATTGGTACTGATGGGAGAGTACTTCATGAAGTCATCAAGGCCAAGAATCTCAGCAAACACTGTAGTTGAAGGTTTGAAACTCATGCCTAATCTCGCGATGCTTGACTTCAGTATGTGTTTCATGGGAAATGATCTTACAATCCTGGACGCAATACTTGAATTTGAACATTTACAAGATGTTCGAGTCACTGTTGCCAAGAGGCGGATACCTGTTCCTGAAGATGGCTCATTTCATCAGTCATTTCGCTTTACTGAGGCAGCCATGAACACGCTGGTATCATTAGCAGTCAAGACGTCTCTTCATCTGACATTCGCCGGATGCAACTGGGCAGATACTGGCGTTAACGAACTGCTGCGCCGCATTCAAGCCAGGGCGGGGAAAGTTGCAAAGCCTAGAGATTGTCCACCTTCCTGTTCTTTTCGCCACCGCGCTGTGCGGTACAACTCCAGCTAACGTAGGCGGGAGGTCGAAAGACTGCTGCCAATTGAAATTTTTACGAGAGTTCGAACTAATGCCGGCCAGTTTTCCATTTCTTCAGCGCTTAGTCTTCAAACGTCTCTGTGTCAAACCAAAGTAGCTTATTGAAATGCTGACAAACAATCCGCAGATCACGCAGCTCAGTGTTTGTGTAGATGTAGATAACATGCAGTCGCCAGACGATACGTACAATGCTGAGTTCTTCGAGACGTTCTCTCGACTCGAGAACAAGTTCACGCTTCTGGACATATCTGGCTGGAAAACGGCTGCGCCATGCGATGTGTTAGTGAAAATGGCAGCAGGTTTCAAGTCGCTGCAACAATTCTCCTATCGCTTTCGAATGCAGCAAGCTCGTACATGACTGTAGTGCATGACCCAAGATATCTCCGAGATGGGAATGAGCATAGCGCTCAGATGCTGGTTTCTGCCTGTCCCAATTTGTCGAGGCTGACTATTGGTGGCACCATTGGTGTACCAGGCTTAGGCGGAGTGGACCTCTCGTGTAGCGACCCCCACCCCAGAGTGGCTGGATTGTGCTTCCTGAGAACTTTGGTGAGTTGGCCACGCTGGGAAATCTTTCGAAGCTGCAATCGCTATCACTACGTGGAATGTCGTTGAGATCAGACGCAGACCTTGACTCACTTGCATCACATTGTCCACAACTGGAGTACCTTCATCTCAGTGCCATCAATACTAGTGACTTTACTCCCTCGCACCCAGACGCTGATTTTTTTTGACAATTTGACCTGGCCACGCCGAAATGCACTGCCATGTCGGATTCTCCCATCGGAAGTATAGAAACTTGTTTCAGAATATCGCATCGAGTGAATTGCTTTATCTGAGAGAGGAGATGTTCGTGCCCTTGAGACCCGAAGTCCCGTTTCCATACGACAAAATTTAGGAGCTCTGCGCTCAGCGCTTTTTCAGGGCATGGATTTCGGGTTGTTCTGGTCGGGTCGCAGCGTCGCGGACTATTCCATCGTCTTCAGCGTCGAAAAACTACTGGCCATGTGAAATTACAAGGCGGTGAGACGCTTTCGTCTTCCTCTACGAGCGAATTTGTTCAGCGCCAGCATACCTAAGTATGCAATTTCGTACGCGCAGTTCGAGTGACGAGGCGTGTGCACTGTACACTGTACTGCATGCACGGACTGTGCGGTCGTTCTCGATTCTCCCATCGCCTCCCATTCATTTCTGTTTCCAGCAAAAGTCCAACATTACTTGGCGCACTTCAACTCACTATAACTCAAGAATGGCTGGCCCAGGCTGGGCCGATTCGAATAATACTTACAGATTTCCTATGTACTACGCCTGGGGGAATCGAATGAGACCAAAATCGAAGCGATCGGAGCAAGTTTTGGAAATTGGGTGTAGTTTTGCCGGTACATCCCAGGACTGGACGCTGTCATCAAAAAGCTCCCAAGCCTGAAGGCGCTGACTATAGACCACCCCAATGTTGAGCAACATAGCTTTTTTGAAAGCTTGGGGAAACTTACTCAGTTGGAGCATTTCAGCCTGCGAACGGAAGAAACCATCGTCGATCTCACGCTCGTTAAAGGGGAAGTTAAGGCAAAAAATAAAATTTCACCAGTTGTAGTCTTCGGGGTGCTGAGTCGAATGGTCGTGGTCCGAGGAAGCTGAGACGCTCCCTTCCTACTTGAATCCCAATCGAACTCGCGCACTTCCACCGAAACTGGGTGACTGCGCCCTACGAGATGGGGATTTGTATGCAAAATGTCACTAAAAGCGCCGTTTCGTTCTTATAAAAGCACGGATGACCGCGATTGGCCCATATGTTGTAGTCTTTTGGACGCTGAGTCGACTGGTTTTGGTCCGAAAAGGCTGCGATGCAGCGTTCCTCCTTTATTCCCAATCGAACGTGGTTGAACAAGTGGTCACGTGCTCCTGGGTGCCCAAATCACCTGGTCACCACGCCAGCAGGCGACAACTTTCACACCAAGGTTCAACTCGAGTTCAACTCGAGTGACAGGACTGCACCCAAAAAAGGTCAAACAGGCTAGTAAGTTGTACCCTGCAGGCACGGTGACCAGCTGACTGGTGTACGCAGGAGCACGTGACCGCTTCTTCAACCATGTTCGATTGGGAATAAGGGAGGAACGCTGCATCGCAGCCTTTTCGGACCAAAACCAGTCGACTCAGCGTCCAAAAGACTACAACATATGGGCCAATCGCGGTCATCCGTGCTTTTATAAGAACGAAACGGCGCTTTTAGTGACATTTTGCATACAAATCCCCATCTAGTAGGGCGCAGTCACCCAGTTTCGGTGGAAGTGCGCGAGTTCGATTGGGATTCAAGTAGGAAGGGAGCGTCTCAGCTTTCTCGGACCAAGACCATTCGACTCAGCACCCCGAAGACTACAACTGGTGAAATTTTATTTTTTGCCTTAACTTCCCCTTTAATTCTTTGAATCCAGTCGATCTCCACTCAACTTCGTCCACATCGTCTGCGTTGGCACGCCGATAGGACTAAAGGAGCTGACCCAACGCCTGAGTAAACACCGTCCTAGCAGCAGGTTACGTGTTAGGCGTAGTTTGAACCGGAGAGATCGAGAGTCAGCACAAAAGGGATTTAAAGGGAAACTGAACGCCAAAAATAAGTATGGCTTATCCGAAGGAGAATTGGGCACTGATTCCGATGAGCTATGTCTCGAGCCGATCAGAGAAGAGGAACTGTGTCAAATTTCATAAATAACACCTCCCATATTTGGAAATTGGCCTTGATGACGTGCGTACTGCTTAGCTGTCACCATGCTGTGCATGTTCAGCAGTGTAATTGAATGGAAGAAAACAATTACTTTGGTGTTTTGCAGCTCTGTTTCGTTCCCTGACGGTAACCAAATCTAGATGTAGGAATCTGTTGAGCAGGAGAGTGACACATGTCTTCCCGAAGGCTGTCCAGGCTGCAGTGGTGATGAAGAAGACACGATCATCACCCCGAGATCCATCGTAGCGAATTGGAAAACTCATGGTGAATTTGCTTCCACTCCAAGGCAATGTCGAGGTATGAAGGGTGCTTGTACTGCCTTCCAAAGTGAAGAGGAGATGAACATGGCTTTGCATAGCTGTTGTTCTATGCCAACTTACCTACTCTTGCTGGTACCGTAGTGGCATATTGCAAATTTCGTGGACGAACAACTCTAGTCACTAGTGGCTAGTGAGCAACACTAACAGGTGAGATTTTTCAATTCGACAAAAATTGTTTTTGTTTGAGAACTGACAGTGGCAGTCATTAGACTCAGTAGGTGTCTTTGCTGCTTCTTTCCCTTCATTGGTAGGGTTGTGCTTGAATAGTACAAGTGCTTGAAGTAAAATAAAATAAATAGAGCATGTGGAACATAAATCTAATCAAGCATCAGTACATGTATTGTGAAGTTCACCTTCAAAGCACATGAAATCACAATGATCACGAAGTTTATGTAATCAGGAGTACACCCTGTGTTCAACGAACACATACACACATGCTGTATTGCGCACACACATGTACACATGTGCGTGCACCCCCATCCCACAGACACACGCATGCAGCGCGCACATCCATACACATGTGCGTGTACCCCCCCCCCCCACACACACATTCCTACCCATACACATGTGCGTCCCCCCCCCCACACACACACGTGTGCACATACAGATACACAAACACACACGCACGAACACACACACACGATACGTGTAAGTGTACAGATGCTGAGCCAGCACAATGGAAAATACCTCCATCAAGATGCTTGATCAAGTGTTGTGATAATGGCACTGTTTGTTTGTTTTTACAAAGAAGTGTGGGAAAGATTACAATGCATTATAATTCATAATTGTTTTTTGCCTTGTACTGTGCAGACCAGAATGCTTTGCTATCAACTCCTGGCTTTCCATCGGCATGGTGTTCAGCTGCAGCGGCATCTGGTCCGGGGAGTTCAAGTTGCTGGATGGCTGCACTGACACAGGATGGGTTTGCGTTGGCAATGCGATACGGCAGTCATCCCACATCACGAGCTACATGTTTATGTAATTTATATTGTCGCTCATCCAGCAACGTCAAGGCTCTGCATGTAAACACAGGAGAACACCATAATACTACTCAGGGGATAATAATTTTGGATATCAATTTCGTGACAATTATTAGATTCACACAATATTCACAACGTATGCAACACGATGCTGTCTATTGACACTACTTCAAACTGAAGTGCTCACTACTCCTCTCCCGTTTTCATCTCCCTCTACCTTATGAATACTCTGCATTACTGGTTTCGTTTCTACCCTTTCCATTGCTGCCAGCTCCCAGTCTTTTTCAATGCACAGCACCACCTTGACAGTCATTTTTGTGATTTGATGTACACATACTTTGAAGATCAAATTCGAATTACATGATCAGATTTTTGTTCCACATTTTCTATTTATTTTTACTTCAAGCACAACCCTACCGATGAAGGGAAAGAAGCAGCAGAGAGACACCTACTGAGTCTAATGACTGCCACTGTCAGTTCTCAAACAAAAACAATTTTTGTCGAATTGAAAAATCTCACCTGTTAGTGTTGCTCACTAGCCACTAGTGACTAGAGTTGTTCGTCCACGAAATTTGCAATATGCCACTACGGTACCAGCAAGAGTAGGTAAGTTGGCATAGAACAACAGCTATGCAAAGCCATGTTCATCTCCTCTTCACTTTGGAAGGCAGTACAAGCACCCTTCATACCTCGACATTGCCTTGGAGTGGAAGCAAATTCACCATGAGTTTTCCAATTCGCTACGATGGATCTCGGGGTGATGATCGTGTCTTCTTCATCACCACTGCAGCCTGGACAGCCTTCGGGAAGACATGTGTCACTCTCCTGCTCAACAGATTCCTACATCTAGATTTGGTTACCGTCAGGGAACGAAACAGAGCTGCAAAACACCAAAGTAATTGTTTTCTTCCATTCAATTACACTGCTGAACATGCACAGCATGGTGACAGCTAAGCAGTACGCACGTCATCAAGGCCAATTTCCAAATATGGGAGGTGTTATTTATGAAATTTGACACAGTTCCTCTTCTCTGATCGGCTCGAGACATAGCTCATCGGAATCAGTGCCCAATTCTCCTTCGGATAAGCCATACTTATTTTTGGCGTTCAGTTTCCCTTTAAAGGGGAAGTTAAAGGGGAACTACACCCAAAAATCAAAACTTCATGGTCCGTAGAGTTTTGGACGCTGAGTCGAATGGTGAAGGTCCCACTTCGATCCGACCAAGCGTTCCTGAGATATCTTCGGTTTAAATTGTACTTTCGGGGGACGCGCCATGACGTCATGCGGCCGCGACACACCCCCAACACGCCCTTCTACGTCATTGAGACTCGCTTGCTTGGGCCAAGCTCAGAAGTACAGGTATTTTGGTATGTGAAAGGAATAGTTCTGACAAAGACGTCCTCACCATGAGCGATTCCGACGTATCTGTCGTGATCTGCATCCCGATGTACCACTTGTAGTGTTATGACTGCTGTCATGACTCGGCCTGGTCTAGTCGTGCATAGCTGACTCTAGTTACTCTTGTCCCCTACTGACATTGTGTTTCACCATTAGTACACTTTGCCTCTACTCTAGTCGGTGCATGAATAGCCGTTCCTAGGTTTACATGTTCCATCGTGCAGTCCGTAGTGCACGCGACATTCTCGGCTTGACTTCCGCTGCTCTGGCAGCCAGCCAGTTATTATTCCTTTGTGATGGTAGAGAAAGGTTGTACATTGTCTTGGCTCGTATCCAGTAACTCTTTGGGAATGAGGGTACGGATTTGAGAAGTAAGTTGGAATCACTAACTGTAGTTACTTGTGTGACTGGATTGGTTGGGATTAGTAAAGTGAAACTCTCTCGAGACGTTTAGGTTGTGCGTCAATCGAGACATGGTGCTGTGACCAGGATGTCGTCACCCAACGAACAAACAACCTCTGAACAGGAACAGCCTGTCGAGTCAACCGGTGCAGCTGCTGCAGAATTACCGGTGACCCAAGCCGCTCAAACGAGCGTAGATCCACGAGCCGTGGATGGTACAGCGGATGAGTCCCATGAAGCCGGTAATGAGGACGCCAGCAAGGACCAGACCCAGGGGCGTACACCGCTCGCCTCCAGGAGTGGTTCCCATGCCAACTGATCAACCAACATAATTCCACACGGCTAGTGCTCTTATACGTATCCGACGGAGTTTCTGCATAAACTGCTGGATAATGTCACTGCTAGGCATATTTGATTTAAAAGACTGAACTTTGCCAAGGCATTTTTATGGATGTTTTGTTCAGCAGGACGACTTCATGTTATGCCGTGAAACGAGTCGCTGAAGCACATCCACACGCTCAGTCTTGAGTCGGGTTATATTCTCGGAAGGACTGCGGTAAAGCTGCCCAAACTTCGAATCACCTGGAGCAAACATTACACAGGGCAAGCAGATGCCACCATGGCACGCCGGTCAAACGACTACACAGGGAAACTCCTCCAACCAGGATAGTTAAAAGCGGCGCTGTTTGCCACCCGTCTGGACACGCACAGGAAACGAAATCCTTCGCCTTCAGTGCAGCTAGTGGCGCACAATGATTGTCAATGACGGAAATCTTTTTCATGTCAGGCAAATTTCGGAGGAATCAGGGATTCCACCGTGGAAGTACACTTTCAGAATATCCTTTCCAACGCGCTCCAATGTCACTGAAGTAAGTCTTGGATGATCCAGCAGCTTCCAACAACGGTCGCTCTACAGCTTCGACGACGATTCCGTCCTCTGTGCTGCTCGTTGCAGACTCCACTTGAAAGTCAGGTGCGTCCGCAATCTCATCTATCGCTTGACCTTCGTCACTGGCTACACGCTTTGCCTCCTGCTCGAAATAGCTCTGAACAGAGCGCTGGCCCTCTGGATGTCGACTCTTCATATTTCTTTTCCACAAAGCGAAAGCATCGTCAAAAACGTAACCAACTTTATCGAAACAAACTGCAAAGGAAATGACTCTGAGATCGAGGAATCGATGTAACTCGTATGTAGAGACTTTGTTGCACCCAGTAAGATCAGTAGATCTACGCTGTGTCACAAAAAAATGCCTCAGCAGCACTTTTACCCCTTGCCTAGTCACCATGTCACCGTCGTCGGACTGTCAGGCGGACTCCAGGCGCCTAGGCATGCATGCACTGCACGCTGGGCCTTGATCAAAAACATTCTCCGTACCCACATCGAAATTATTTTACTGGTTCCCGGGCATCCCGGGAACCGCCCTATGTACGCCCCTGAGACCGATGGCACGGACGCTGGTGCAGGAGACCCGGAGCGGCTGCTAGTCTCGTCCAACCCCGAATACAAGCAGATGATCCAATCGAGGTCCAACATGAAGCGTCGACTGACGAGGGTGAGGCAAAAGATAAAAATTCACCTAGACCTGCTAGGAACTGATTGTTTCAGCGCAGACGCTCTTGGCCGCCTAGATGTTTCTGCCGCACGTTCCCTTTACGATGAGGCGTCCGGTTTGAAGTCAAACATCGAGGGTATCCAAGACAATATTAGACGGAGCTTAGAAGACGCAAACGAGGATAAGAAATTAGATGAACAAGACGCGTGGGAGAATAATTTCGAACTTGAATGCGTGTGTTTGCTGAGGCTCGCACAATGTTTACAACAATGCGACCACCATTCTCGCACTCAGTATGAAGCTGAAGACGAACGCCGCACCCGACTCCGATTACTAGAAGAGCATGGGCCACGCGCGCTAGATGTTCTTGATGCGACCATGTCTAGCCCTCGCAGCGGACCAAAACCAACATGTCATGCGTCGCCAACACTACATGCGTGGAGTGAGAAGAGTGCCGACACGGATATCGACACTGCTACTTCAAGTGCTTGTGACACTGTTGAGCCACCGCGACAGTCCCAATGTGAGTCGGCTGAACAGTCACACGCACAAAGTGCAGTGCTTCATGACATTGTACATGTAGTAGATGCAACTGAGTCTCCTGCCAGCGCAGCAAATGCACAGGAAACCAGCGCAGCAGTCAGTGTCAGAAGCCAACCAAGATCACCAGTGCCACCAGTCCCCAAACCACGTGTCAGGCATGCCATTGGCCCTGGCACTGGTAGAACTGCTGCCACTCCAGCAGTGCATGCGGTGCCCAGCCCAAGTCCCACCTATGGCAGTGGTGAGGAGGACAGGGCCTATGACTATGAGCATTACCTCCAGCAGGAGACCCAGGACAGACAAGCAGTACAACAGCTTCAGCCAGATGCAGAAACATTCTATCCACCAGACCATTCTGTCGCCGCCAGGACAGCCCCTCCACCAGCCACAACCTGGCCACGCGATGCTATTGCCCCACTGGAGCAAGCTCTTCAGGGCGCAGTTATGAATGTCGCCCAGGCTTTGAGCCAAAACCAAACGCCACAACACACCAGCACATCCGCTGCAGCCGGCCCAAGCTCCGTTGTGTTCAAGCTAAAACCGATGGAAATACCGAGCTTCGACGGGCAGGTCACCAACTGGCCCGATTTTTGGGACCTGTTTGAAACTGCCGTGGACAAACAGCCAATGTCCGATGTCGTTAAGCTGAGCTACTTGAAGAGTGCCCTCACTGGCCGAGCTGCCCACACGCTCGCTGGTCTGGCTATCACCAACAACAACTATGCCACGGCCGTACAGCTACTGAAAGAACGATACGGACGGACAGATGATATTGTTGCTGCCCTGTATACCAAGCTGCAGCGATTGCAAAGCACATCGTCCAAACACCGTGATATCCGGAACACCATTGACAACATCGAACGGATACTACGACAGCTGTCTGCCATGGGCATTAGCGTTGAACAGCAGCCACTATTGGTGCAGCACATTTTGTCCAAGTTCCCTACGGAAGTACTCGCCAAGCTAGAGGAATGGCGAACATCGAGCCATCAGTCGTGGACGGTCGCCACCCTGCGATCCGCCCTTCAGCGGTATGCCGAAATCCACCAGAATTTGCCGGAAGGTTCCGAGACTTCTGCCTCTCAGTCTTCAAGGACACCGGCCACACAGACACAGCACGGCTCACCAATGACCATGCAAGGAACTGGACACGCTCTTTCATCTCAGTCAACGCATAGTGCGCCTCCACGTCTATGTGTCTTCTGCAAAGGGACTCACTTCAACGACCAGTGCGTCACCTACAAGCTGGCTCGGACAAGACAACAGAAGCTCCGAGAACAAGATCGTTGCTTCATTTGTCTGCGACGGAGCCATATGGCGTCCCAGTGCCCAGAGAAAACCAAGGCTTGTTTTCACTGCAGCAAGACCGGCCACAACCGAGCTATCTGCCCAGCCCATGAGAGACGTGAGCCCTCCAAAGGCAGCTCAAGGCCACAACCAAATGGCTCACAACCTGCCAGGGCCGTCTCCACACAGGGTAATGATGAGGAACTTGTAAATACGTGCTCCGCCAGTCTCGTGTCAAAGGGTCCCAGCGACAAGACTGGTGCAGTATTCCTCCAGACAGCACAAGTGCAGATTCAAGCTGCCGATGGTAGCTTTATCACCGCGCATGCGTTACTGGACACCGGCAGCAATCGCACATACATGAGTACCCAGCTCAGCAAGCAGCTTCAGCTGCAGCCGGAGAGACAAGAGTCATTGACCCTCATCACCTTTGGAGTGACACACCCACGCAGTGTTGTTACATCGGTCGTTCAGACGTCCATCTCACTGTCCGACGGACAGAGGTACCTCAGCAAAGCGAATGTACTCGACACCATTACACGACCTATCCGACGCTACCCTCTTCCATCTGAAGATGCGGAGTTCCTGGCAGGCGAACCATCCATTCAAATGGCAGACACCATACCATCAATAGCCGAGACGAGGGCCATTGACATTCTCATTGGTTCTGATCATTACGGAAATCTTGTGCAAGGATCACCGCAGCGTCTACCGTCAGGTTTGTACGTGATGGATACGCTCTTGGGTCACATCGTCACAGGACAGTGTTCGTCCAAGTCGGATGACAGCAACAGCTCAACGCTTCTCGTCTTGACGCAGGCAAGCACCGGTCTACAGCGTCCGCTATATGACTACATGGCAACCGCCGACTCTGCTCTGCTTGCTGAAGTCGAACCAAACTTGACGGAGTTTTGGTCGCTAGAAAGGATCGGTGTGGAGGACCCAGCAAGTCTCCCAACAGATGACGACACAGTTCGACAGTTCGAGGAGACCGTCACGTTTGCCGACGGCCGCTACACAGTCCAGTTTCCATGGAAGCCCGACATGCAGCTTCCACACAACAAGGACCTAGCCTACGGAAGGATGAAGTCACTGGGGAAACGGCTTGCAGCAGATCGAGACCTGCTGACCAGGTACAACGACGTGCTGCTGCAGCAGGAACGGCTTGGCAT